TCTTAATGATAACATTGTAATAGGCCAAATTTGCAAAACATTCTCCAAAACCAATACTATTTCTATAGCTTACTGGCAATACAATATCAATATCTCTACTTCCAACTTCTACCTACTACTCCTATTACTTGTACACCTTGCCATGGTTGCAATCTCAATTCTAACTGAATTTCAAGCTGTTGTATACTTGAAGTATCTGCTATTCTTTTTACTCAATTTCTGGAAAGAAAGAAAGCCAACAAACAACTTAATCTCAATACCAACTATATTGATCTTATACAGTTTACTAACATTAAAAAAGCTACTGAAATACTATCTATACTATCAATTAACCTCTTTGACTTATCTATATCTATTATTTTCTATAACAATGAGGCCTCTTCACAGCTTATTCAAATCACACTAGCCAATTTTCTCTAGCACCAATTCACCTTCTATACAGATGACTCTGTTAAACAACTTGGCATTAACCAATGCTCTATGAATATTGGCTGGATACAAGTCCAAGATGACCAAATTATACAAAGCTTCTCTGCCCAAATTACAACCTGGCCTTCTTCTTACAAAACTAAACTATTAGCAATTCTATTTGTTATTTCAACTATCCCATGCAACTCTAGATTACAAATCTTTACTGACTTACAATCTGTTATATCCAAATACAACAAACTCCTAACTTTATCCTCTCACTCTACTAAAAACTTTAAATTTAACTTCTGACCTATCTGGCACACACTCCTCAATATTATAAAGCTTTTAATATCCAACTCTCTCTTCACAAAGTCTAGGCCCACTCTGACAATACTTTTAATAACCTCCCAGATATACTTGCCAATAATCATTCTAGCTCCTCCTTGTTATTATTCAACTTTACTAACTCTTACAACCCCTACTTTACTCTATTATGAAAAAACAACTTTGTTGATAGCTCTACTTGACAATTTATCAAAAACATACATAATGCATACAATATAGCTCTATAGTCTTCTCAACACCATGCCCAAGAATGGTCACATTTTTTCTCACCAAATTGACTAGAACGCCTCTTGGCTATACTTTAACAATAACCAAAAAATCTCTTATAACTTTACCAATCCTAAACTAAACTACTTAAAAGTTTTTAAAATCAAAATGCTACTCAATATCCTATCTATATATGCATACTTTCACAACATATATCCTTATTTATTTACATCTCCCAACTGCTTCGCTTATAACAACCCAGACTCTTCTTCTCACTAGTACACCTGTACTAGCTATACTCTAATTCAAACTATTAATTCTACTATACACAACACCTTATCTAACTCTAACCTTAATCTCTCTTTACCCCAACTAAATAACCTCATATATACGATCTCCTCACATTCTGTCTTTTATCCCCAACCCTCTCAACTCTATTTATTCTCTCTTTATTCTACACTTAAAGGTCTTATACCAATTTCTTTAATCAAATCCTTAGATCTATTTGACATTTCATATTCTAATGTCTCTTAACTTATTATTAAACTACTACTCAATATTTTTATCCAACTTTATAATAATATCTGAATCCTATACTGTATAAATTTTTTCTAATGGAAAAAATCTCACCAATTCTCTCCTCATCCTAACCACCAATCACTATTCCAACCTCCCTCAACCTCCTCTAACAAGAGAAATAAAACTAACTATACCTATAACTGCTCTTGTGGTTTTGCTAACCAACTACACTCAAAATCTAATACTTGCCCACTCTAGGAAAAGCTACTTTTAAACTTAACACCTGGTTCACTTTGTAGATTAAATACAATATACTTATTAATTATATTCTAACAATTTAAACCTAGTTAACCACTATAGTAGATTTAGGTTGCAGATAATTAGCCCAAGCTTTTAGTCTTAGCTTTTAGTTCGAGCTTTTAGTTTGAGCTCTTATTCTTGTATATAATTTATATTTATTTATCTTTGTACAAATTAAGTTTTTATATAGTTTATGTAACTGCTTATATAAATTAACCAATAAAGATATGAGCAAGGCCTCATCTTAATAACAACAAAAAAAAAAAATGAAATTGTTTTGACTTACTTTTATATAAAAAACAAAATTTTTTAATACTTTTTTTAAATAGATAAAATTATAAGAAATATAATTATATAAATTAGATTTGCTCTTTTTTTATAAAAATTTTTATTTTACTTTAGTGAAAAGAAATAGCTATTTTTGAAAACCTATTTTTATGGTATATATAAATATAATCTTTGTTAATTTTAAACTAATTATTGATATGAATCTTTCTTTTCTTTAAATTATAATAATTATTTAGGTGCTTATTTAACTGATTGTTATATTTTTTCTTCTCATAATTATATTGTTGAGAAATATGCTCTTTAATAAGATCATTATTATTAATAGTTGGTAAATTGGTTAAGTATTAGATGAATTATTAATATTGTTAAGCTGTTTATTATTATTATTAGTTAAATGATTGTTATTTGCTTGATCATTAGTATTAACTAGCTGCAAATTAATTGAATTACTAAATAGACTATCAATAAAGTTAAGTTGGTTATTGTGTAAATTAGATAATAAGCTTTTGTGGTTAAATTAAAAATTAGATTGGATGTTATAAAGATCAAATATATGGGTATTAGATTAGTTATCTTGAGAATTAAGAAAAATATTTTGAGAAATTAGATAAAAATCTTAAGAATTTAGTTGTCTATTATCATTATCAGTTGAATAATTGTTATTTGCTTAATTATTGGCATTAACTAGTTGCAAATTAATTGAATTACTAGATAAATTATTAATAATATTAAGTTGGTAATTGTGTAAATTAAATATTTGATTTTCATAATTGAGTTGGCTGTTGTAAATATTAAATATATATGTATTGGATTAATTATCTTGAGAATTAAGTAAAATATTTAGAGAAATATTTGAGAATAAAGAGGAATATTTTGAGAATTTAGAAGAAAATCCCGAGAATTTAATTAATTGGTGGATTGTTTACTAAGATTAGATTGTTCTCCATTAACACTTGATTAGATATCATAGAGATCATTATTATTATGAAAATCAGAAGATTGGTTTTTGTAAAAGTCAAAATTGTTATTGTAAAGAAAAAACTAAAAATTGGGTTAGCTGTTATAAAAATCAAAAATGAGTATTAGATTGGTTATCTTGAAAAGTTAAAGGAATATCTTGAGAAGTTAGAGAAATATCTTGAGAATTTAAAGGAATATTTTGAGAATTTAGAGAATAATCTTAAGAATTTAATTGATTAGTAAATTGTATATAGTATTAAAAAAATTAGATTGTTTTCTGTTAATATTAGGTTAAAAATTATAAAGATTACTATTACAACCAGCATTGTGTCACTTATAATCATTAGAAAAATTTTTTTATAATTTTATTTTCTAAGAATGATATCAATAGTTGCATTTTTAAAACTGATTATATTTTCAAGATTTAATAGTTGTATTTAGAGACACTTTCTATTAGAATCAGAGTTGTGATACTTATAATCATTAGAAAAATTTTTTTATAATTTTATTTTCTAAGAATGATATCAATAGTTGCTTTTTTAAAACTGATTATATTTTCAAGATTTAATAGTTGTATATAGAGACACTCTTTATTTATTTCATTTTGAACAATTTCTTTTCTTTAAAAAAATTTTGAAGTATTATTAAATTTTTTAAACTATATAATTAAAATATAAATTTTGTATTTACTATGTTATATTCATTACTAATATCATTTCAATAATTTTTAACTCTAACTTTCATTTTTTGCTATTGTAAAATAATAATATAATTATATTAGCAGTATATTATTATTAATATATTGATACTAAAATTTAGACCTATTTTAATATAAAAATTTAAAACAAACCATTTCTTCAGCTATGTTTTAGAATCTGGTATTTTAGCAGATACTATTTGATTAAGAGTTTGTAGCTTATCTTCAGATGCCAATATAAGTAATATATGAGTATATAACAACTTTTATTTTCTTTTAATACTTTAACAGTATCATTATCTAACAAATTTTTTGCACTTTTCATAAATGCAAATTGCCAAGAATTGTGAATATGATTTATATTATAAGTGTTTGGCAGTGAGGAAACTATAATATTTCTTTTCTGAATAAAAAATCTAATATATGTTAATTTATTCTTAGCTTCAAGTATATAAGAAGCAATTGCTTATAAAAAAAATTGTATATTGAACATTACTTTATAGTAATAATATAGTAATCCTTGACAGGGCATAATAAGTCATCAGTTACTTTTTTGATAGATGCAGATCATACCCTAAATTGAGGTGGCATTCTTGATGCACTATATTCTTATAAAATATAATTTTTTAAAATTTTAGCAAAGATATCTTGATAACTGCTAAAATAAATTTAATAAATTATTTTTTATTTTGATTTTATAGTTTGTAAAATCAAAATAAAAAAAAATTCATCAAATTTGGATAGGTGGTCCCTAAGATATCTTCGCTCAAACTTATAAAAATTTGGCCACAGCAATTTTAATAAATGTACTGTATATGGGTGATAAAAATGTAATGTATAATATAAAAAATCTGTTAATTTAGCAAATTTTTTATAGTAACCAAATGCTTTATTATAATCTTAAACAACTTCTCTTTTATAATGAACACCAGCTTTACATGTTCAAATAGCATTATCCAAATCAGCTATTCTCTTACAATATCCAAATAATTTTTTTTTACTTAATTCTATAAGAATAACAAACACTAACATCATTCATTGCAGATGGATTTCCTAACTCAGCTGCTCATATAATAATCAAAAGCCTTCTCTTCATCTTTTTCAAAATCACTACTATGTTAATAATTGTAGTTAAGTTTACAAAGTTGATTAGAGTCCATTTTTTAAAGAAAAAAAAATTTCATTCTTGGAATGCAGCAGAAGACATTTAATACATCAATAAATTCTTGATTAGTTTACTTATATTATCACACCAAAAACATAATTTTGATAGATGACAAGTGCCACGCCATCAATTACCAATTTAGCTGCAGCAAACCTAAGTTCATAACCCAACCCACCCTCTGAGAAACTTGCCATTTTTATTAAGTATATTAGCTAAATATCAAGATCACATGATCATATTATCAGCTGGCCTGCACTATGCAAGCAGGAAACTACCGGCCAGAGCTAAGATGTACAAACCTAACTACTAGTGTTATAAATTCAAAAAATTTTTATTAGCACAAATGCAAAAAAAATATGTACAAAAAAAAAAATTTATACGCGCGTTATATATATATGGGGAGCACTGATATATGTGCAAATTTAAATCTATGTGCACTGTGCCTACTGCTTGATCCAATTTACATCACTACGGCTTAACAATCACTTCTGATATACAGGGAAACCTAAATAAAATTCCCAGAAAATTAATTTATAAATAAGAATATATTGTACCAAAAAACAATCTAAGATAAAACAAATAGATCACCAAGTGTAAAACAAACAAAAATTGTTAAAGATTACTATCAAGCAATGTGATATGAGTACCAAGAAAAAATACTTATCTAAAGATAATCTAATAACAAACTTATTATACGTAACTATTATACTTTTGAAATTAGAAAAATAAACTACGTAGTAGTATAATATAATTTAACAATTTAGAAATTAATATTGTATCGATTCATATTATTCAAAATGTATTTAAACATTAAAATTTTACCTTAGCAAACTTCGTGCATATAATATTCGATTTATAACCCAATACTTATAATTCCTTACATATAAAATTACTTTGATAGTAAAACATTTCATATAAGTCAATTTATGACTACCATCGTATATTCATTCGAAAATCTAGAAACATATTATGATTCATTATTATTAGTTACTCTTGCAATATTTTTAATAATTTTAACAACACCCCTCGTATTGATAACAGTATTGATTGCTAAACATCTTATTTATCAAAGCTTAAACTATTGAATTAAAACTACTCTTGTATAATGATATCATATTTTATTAATAAAGAAACTTTTATATCAAATAAACTATTTATTAAATATCCATTGTATAATTAAGTAACTTGTTAAGTAATAGACTTACCAAATTGAACCCCAATAATGAAGAGAAATTAGTGAATAAAGAGAATAATTTACTTAACAGTAAAACTCTTAGACTGATTACCTATGACTATACTATATTATTGGAAACAATACAAGTGAAACTATTTTACATAAATATTCACATATCAAAATTATTTATCTTGACAATACTCATATTATATTTAAGACAAACTCAAGTACAGATTATTATTTCTAACCTGATCATGCAAACACCAACTACAACCACAACTCTAAGCTCTACACAATTAAGCCAAATAAGCCAAACTATATTCCCAAATACGCAATCAACTATTGTTATAATAACACCAACACCAACAAACAATTCAAACAATGCCCTAGTTACTGTTATTGAAGTATTAGGAGCATTATTGACATTATTCACAACAATAATTACAACTCTTATTATTTGCTTTAAACACGTACAAAAAAAAAATGAACAATATAAAAGTCAATTCAGCAACATGCACAACAACACACACACACCTATTTACACAACCATTAAACAATACTCTAACCCCACAACAAATTCAACAATTAGCCGCACAATTAACACAACTACAATCGCAATTACGACAACAATTTCCTGTAGTAGGAACTGGATTACTATTACATTCTAAACCAGGAAAGAAAGCTAAATTTGCAAAAGTAAATACCCTAAATCAATCAGGACAATCAGGATCTGAAGACAGATATTCTACTTGGAACTAATCTATTATACTCTGATATCTATTGTTTATGAACCCAAACAAACAAATATTAATCATAACTTTAATTGCAATCATACTTGCAGCTGGACTGACAGCAATACTCCTTATTGAACTACAAAACATACAAATCACAATATCAATTATTATTTTAATTCTAACCTCAATATCAGGAATAGTCATTGTACTATTAGCTACTTTGATACCTTACCAATTTAATGACAATAGTCCAAACAATAACTCCAACCTTAATATCTGAAACATCAACCTGCACCAATTCTATATTTGAACCACCTGCATCAACATTACTTATAATATTATTATTTGCTATTGTACTTTGGATACTTACTATTACTATTATTTGTTATAAACAACAACAAGATTAGAAATGACTATATAAACAACACTCAACACTTGGGTATTACACAGACCAAAACTCAGGCTGCTGTTGTTATAAATAAATGACAAACCCAACACCAATACCAATACAACTGGATATCACCACAACTATTTATATTGTAGTAATAATTATTGAAATACTCTTATTAATGAATATTTATAATTTATACCAGGGGATATTAATAACCTCCCTAGATTAACAAAATAAAATTCAATGAAAATCATGTGATGCACCAATAAATAATATCACATGACAATGAACATCAATATAACATAAAACCAAAATGTGCTTAATTACAACAGACAATATTACATAACTATCTAATATGTAATAAGAATGGTCAGGTACATATCTATATAGTATGTAATATATGCACGTATCAGAATATATCATATTAACTCTTATCATTATCCAATGTATACGTATATATATTGCATATATCAATATAAAGTATAGTATCCAACTATTAACTTCAGAACTTATATAGAATTTAACACCAATCCAACTGTAAGTATTTAATCGAACATCGCAAGATATTAACATTTTAATAGCAATGATAGTGGAGATACAGCTAGAATTAGAGAATCAGAAAAAGAGGAATATGTCAACAGATGTGTTTTATGATAGGAAAATTAGCTAATAACGATATGTTCTTCTGATGACTTTTGGGTCAAACTAGCCAGTTGATTTAATATTTATGTAAATATAAAAAAAAGAATGGTTAAAGTTATTCAACGATCATAAAAAATTTTTTTTTAAAAAAAGTGATCCTATTATAAAAACCTCTAACCCTATCCTCTAACCCGAAAAAAGAATATTACCATTGTTCATCTTTACTCTAAATCTTAAAAAAAAGAACTTAATTAGTATTCACTCTTACTCTAACTTTTAAGAAAAGTTAAGCATATTGAATTTTGAGCTTATTTAATACAGTATAATCAATTGATATTACACTTCATTTTTACTAAGTTAAACAACATGCAATCAAATTAACATAGCATTTGTAAATTCTATATAAATCATGAACTTATAATATAAAACAAAGTTTGATTTGTTGCAATCTTTAAACATAAAATCAATTCAATACGGTATAATCAATTGATATTACACTTCATTTTTACTCAGTTAAGCAGCATGCAATCAAATTAACATAGTATTTGTAAATTCTATATAAAACATAAAACTCATAATATTATATTTCTTGACTAACACAAAGATACTACAACCGCAGAATCATACTAAATAATATAATTATAAATTGCAACCTAAAGTTTTGCCCACTGCTTTGTATTTAAAAAACTATTTTTCAGGGCAATTTTGAGAATCATGATACCATGATTTACATACAGCACATTGACGCTTGTTTTTCTTTTTTGGTTTTGACTCTGAATCTTTGTCTTAATTATTTGAACTGATGGTATTGCTATTATGATTCTCAATTGCTGATAAGTATCTTTTGTTTGCAGAGCGGCCTCTATCTTTATGCTGAGACAGATTTGAAATTTTAAAACTACCATCTTGATTTAACTCTAATTCAGATACATTTTTATTTTGTACTGACGCTTGTTCTTCAATAAATCATTGTAATATGTTTTCTAAAACAATATGAGAACCATTTATGACTGCTATATCCAATGCCTTTTTACAAAGCCCGAGACCACAACAATATGAAACCTTTTTTGAATCTAATTTTATAGCATTTCTGATATTAATTTCTTGCCTACGAATCTTTTCTAATGTTTGAAATGTATTAGTTGGAATTGGTTCATCATTTTGTACCACCTGAACAGATGATTCTTGATTTTCATCAAACACTACAAGACCTTCTTCAGAAAACCAATGTAACGGAATCAACTTCATATTAAAAAGTGCTTTCTTTAAATGAAACATAATAGCAAAAAAATGTCGGCAAACAAATCTAGCATATATTAAGTATAAACATGTACAATAATGGGTACCATCTTCAAGCAATAAAACAAATTGCGAATGGTTTGTTGTACTTTGAATATGCTTAACTTCCCAAGTTTCTTTTATGCCAATTCCACGACAATCCTCTAAGGCTACATTTAATAGAATTTGTAGTTTTTCATAATCGTCTTCTATAAATCCAATGTTATGACCATCTGGCTTCTAATCAAATAATATATACAATCTGACCTTTACTTATAGTACAATTTTAAAACAAAACAAGACAAAAACAAAAAAAAAACTTTCCTGATTTGTAGTAATGTCACGATTATTAATATATAATAAAGTCCTATACAAAAGACATTCTGACATCTGCCTTCATTATAAAGCTAATGAATTAGGTATAAGATACTTCCTACATATATAGTCAATATCTTTAAAAATTGTATTAGAAACATTAGGAAAACCTGCTGTAGAATTCATATTTCGGAACTCTTGTAATCTCGTATATTTGGCTTCATCTTTAAGTCTCAATTCGATTCCTGTTTGAAGTTGACATAAAGAGTTTCCAGAGTTGGCTTCTAATTTTATAACATGATTTATACTTTCAACATGTTGTGTTGAATAGGTGTTTGCTGAAAAATTTCGTTTTGTAAAGGCATATGCCCAACATTCTTTTGTCAGATACAATACTCGATTACAGTAATCTTGAACTTCTAGATATTTGTTCATCAGATCTGCCCAGCGACTGTCAAAGTCAGATACTGCAATTGAATTTGAAGTGCATAAAAATCAGAAATGAATCCATCCCACTTGTTATGAAGCTTTTTTTTGGCTTTTTTAACCAGATTTTGTCAAATGTGAAATGCACAGTGCTGAACTATAGTCCTAGGATAACAGTTAGTTAAAGCTACTTGCATTGCCTAATCCGCATCTGTAAATATAGTTGTTGGTTGAAGATCACCAGTAGCTACCTTAGTTTGTTCTAATATCTACTTATAAGTTGAGACTGTCTCATCACTAACCACAGCTGTTGCTACAATTCTGCTTCATTGATTTGAGTTGATTACAATAAATATACTTAGAGGCATCATATATTTGTTTGTTTTGCATGTATTGTTATTAATGACAAAATCATAGAATCTGGCCCACAAACTTTTTTGATTAGGCGACATCCAAAATATCCTGAAAAGCCTATTATCAATACCTTCAAAATCAACTTTGAAATACCAATTCGGATTCTCTTGCTATAGCCTTACTAAAGATAAATATAAAGTTAAAGTATCATTTTTAGTTTGGGTATCATCTTTGAATCTACTGATCATATTATAAAGATCTCTATTATAAATCTCTTAATCAGGAAACCTATTCTGTAATATTCGTTTTAAAGCTGTCGCTCTCAAATTGCACTCCTGAACATAAAACCTGACCTCTTCTTTTATATGTGTAAGTAGTTTTCGTGATGATAGCAAAACTTGAAGCAAATTACTATCTTTTAATGCATGATTATGTTTTTCAACAAGTTTGTTGACAAATATATGATTTGGCAGTTTTCTATATGACATATTTAACACAAAATCACACTCTATACAAGCTGACTTATGCTCTTTATTTGTTGTAGGATCTACCTTTTTTTTGGGTAAATATTTACCGCCATGTCAGCATTTATAAGTTTTTCTAGAACAAACATTATTTTCATTTTCAACTCGTACGATCTTAGTTTCAAAACCCATTTTGGTAGAATAGTGTTTCAAACATTTCTCAAGTGACTCAAAAGTAGGAAAAGTCTGCCCAGTATATATCTCTTTTAAAGGACTGTCTTCAAGCTCATCTTCTGAATCACTTTCATATATGTTATCTCCTACATTTTCAATTATAGGTGTGAAACTGGACCGATATTCTAAATTATCACTTTCAAACATATCATTTTCAATATTTTTAATTCTAGCTGCAAGATTGAACTAATATTTGAGATCACTATTTTCAAACATATTATCTTCAATGTTTCCAATTACAGATATAAAATTAGACTGATATTCAAATTCACCACTTTCTACTACGTTATCTTCAATATTTTTAGATGCAAAATTGGACCGATATTTAAAATCACCACTTTCAAACATATCAATATTTCCAATTTCAGATAAAGTGATAAGCCCATTTATAAATTCATCAAAGTACTCATTGAAAGGTAAAGCGAAATCAATATCATTATTAGAGCAATATGAAATTCCGTTATCTATATAATATATAGTTGAAGCTTTCAGATTTCAGGAACCTAAAAAAAAATTTTTTAATAATAATAAAGCTTGAGTGAAATGTCTGAAACAAATTTTCACTATAAAGTGTTATGCGTTTAAAAGTTTGAAGAAGATACATGAAAAAAACACGTAAATCTAAAAAAAACAAGTTTAGCTATAACAAAGTAAAAACTTCATAACAAAATTGCAGAAAAAAGTCCAAACAAAATTTACTGTAAAAAGGCCGTATGCTTTGAATGTGTGTACGAAATATGAAGCAAAAAAGAAAACACATGAAATACTAAAAAAAAATGCAATACATCAGTAAAATTTCTACCAAAAAGTTTCTCTCATTTACAAATATGATAGAATGTGAAAAAGGATTACATATATCGAAGTACGTATCAGTTTCCTACAAGTCTATTTTTTAGACATTAACTTTACCCAAATGTAAGAAAAAGAAGTTCAATTATCCTGTGATTAGGTACCTTTTATTTATTTGTTTGTTTGTTTTTAATGTCCAATCAGTTGCATAAACTCATTTTTACTACTAATTACCCAATTAACAATATATTATATATGCTCACGGGGTATTAATATCCACCGGGAGGTTATTAATAACCCCTTTATTGTAATTATTATCATTAATATTTATTATTATCATTATAAGGGGGTTATTAATAACTCAGTGAATAGTAATAACCCCTGGTAAGAAGATGATTTACCCCTTATTAATATCCTTAATTATCTCAACAATATTATACTTTACTTGTTATAAAAACAACAACAAAGAATTAGAAAAAAAGGACCAAGTAAAGCACCACATAAACTATTACCAAGCACAATATCTCAATATCCATCCCAAATCTTATCAGGAGAAATACCCTTCATAGTAGACTTTCAAAAAGAAATAAACAGAAATGTTTATTACCAAGATATTTACTATTAAATGTGTTTTACACAAAGAAATAAAAAGAAAAGAAGAAATCCAAAGAAACAAATAAACTTTTCAAACCAAGATATCTACTATTAAATGTGTTTTATATGAAGAAACAATAAGAAAAGAAGAAATCCAAAGAAACAAATAAACTTTTCAAACCAAGACTACCAAACAAACCAACACCATCTATATAATTTGACACCACAACAAATAGCAAATTTACCCCAAAACCAACAACAAGAAATAATAAATTATTTACAACAAAACCTATTTGAACCAAATACTCAAAGGATTAATTATTTATTTAGATATAAATAAAACTCTTTATCTTATTATTACTTTTAATTAGAATAGTTGCAGGACAACAACAATTCACTTTCATAATACACTATACCAACTGTAACTCAATTTGTAACACCAACTGGTACATCAACAACTATTACCCAAACAGTATTTACTACAGAAACTACAACACCAGGATACTTTAATAACCAAAATATTATAGACCAAAATATTGTATTTATAATACTAGCAATACTAGTAGCAGGAGTAATTATCTGGACAAGACATAGTCAGAAAACTCAAGAAAAACTTGGTATAGCAAAGAACTATATTAATAGTTAAATACGAACAGTAGAAACAGTTAACAATACTATAATACCAATAATAATGAAAGTAGTTTAATGACAAACCTACCAAACATATTCAACTTTAAAAATATACCAAATTCAAAATATTGTGAAGATGATGAATCTAAACCTTGTACAGAACTCAAAACAACAGATCAAATATTAAAAGAATTAGAACAACAGAAAAAACAGATACTCAAATCAAAATATCAACAATTAACCTTACAAAAAGAAAATGTTTACTAGAAAGCAAAAATAATTATTGACCAAAAAAAAACTACTAGTACAGACATAGTATTTGCATACTTAGTATTTTTAATAAGAATCAGATAAGTATATTGAAGCAATGCAAAAGCATACCAACAAGATTTAGATACCATAAAAAAACACACTGAAGTAAAATATTTATGCAAAGCCAAGAATGAAAACAACTCCAATACAGAGTAACTAGATTAGCAAATTATGAATTTCAACAGTGGACATTCAAATATCCAATATCAAAATACAGATTAGAAGTAAGAAAGTATTATCAAACAGCATTTACAAAATACTTTAATACAAATACATCTGAATACTTAACACTATTCAGTGAAGATAAATTAAAGATAGTAAGGATAATACAAAACCAAGACAAAAAGAATTTTAACAAACTGTTTACAAAGATAATTATACCAAACTACAAGAGAGAAGAAGTATTTAACTATATAAAGTACAAACATATCCTTAATAGATATGACTAATATATAGAGGACTATTAATTACAAACTAAACAAAAAAAGATTATATTCATTATCGTCTATTAGCAAATATACTACCAATATTAAACATAAATGACACTATGAAATAAATGGTAAATACTGAACAAATAATCCAGACACTACAAGAAAAGGAACTGATAATAAAAAACAGAATTCAAAAACTTAAAAAAAAAAATTAACCAAATAAGCAGTAAAATACAACAACTTCGAACTAAAAAGAAAAGTGGCTACAAGTTAAACTGTAGATACATTGGAGAATCAAAGAACCTGATTCTATAACTGACAAAACTCTACAAAAATTAGCAAACAAAATAAACAAATAAAATGGCAGACAATGACAAATTTGTCAACATAACCAATTAGAACTTTAATGAATTAATGGGAAACTGGAAATGCAATGGCACAAACTGGCTAGAATGAAGTATAGAATTTGAGAAAAGAATACAAGAAAAAATACTATTAGAATTATTAGCAACAGGATATTTTACTGGAAACTCTAAGAAAGGATAGACAAGATTCAAAACAAATGATGAATCAATAAAGAATGCAACAACTAGAATGTTTAATGTATACTTTATGAAACTAGTAAACAAAAAATAGCTATACAATGCTTTACAACAGAATTATATAGAAAATACTAAGCAAAAACAGCATTATTTAATTGTTACGTTTGTAGTAAATTTGATGGAGGAAAAAGAATTCCACCATACAAATGGGAATGCCCTTACGATACTAGTGCTACTGTAGTAAATAATGCTAATGCAGTAATATTAAATTCTATTGAATTTCCAAAGAAAAAAATGACAAATTTACAAAAACAAATATCAGAAATAACAAGAAAACAGGATAGAACATCCTTGACTTTTATGATGATATTGCAGATATAAAATCAACACAAGTATCATTTAGACTATGGATGGATACTCAAAATATTATTTCAGAATTCATATTAGAAACACAATGAGTATTTAGAAAATTAAGATTTAACTTATAATATGCAATAAATGCACATAAAGATGAAGAATTTGTAGATAAATTCAATAGACAAATGGAAATATCAAATTATAAGCAAAATTTTGCAACAGGTTTAAAATTATTAATGATAGATACTCTACTATCTAGAAGATACCAAACAGAAAACTATTGGAGTCAAATGAAATTATACGAATCAAACATCAACTCTAAAAAGAAATTTTGGGATGCATTATATAAAATATATGAGTACTATAAAGACTCAGAAGTAGGAACTTATTTTAAAAGTAAAAACCCTCAACAACAACAAAAGAATATTAATTATATTCAAAAGAAACCTTGGAAACAGAAAAACCAGAACAATAACTACAAGAAAAAGAATTCTACAATACTGAAAAACCTAAAAAATATCAATAGTGACAATATAATTACCAAATAGTTGATATCAGCCAATCAAAATGTTTCAATTGTGAAAAAGTAGGCCACTTCTTTAGAGAATGCCCTATAAAAGAAACTTTTAAGAATTTCAGATCTTTCTACAACAAAGAAAAAGGAAGACGTAGAAATAACAATAACCAAAACTAAAACAATGACAAGAAAAGAAAATAAAGAAAACTTTTAACCAAAAGAAACTAGGAAGAAAATGAAGAAATAATCTACCACCATAATTTAAACATAAACCACAAACTATTTTACAATTTCAACAAAACCAGATTGTAACAGAAATTGGTCAAAAATCAAAAACTAATTTTAACAAATTTAAACAACAACAACAAGAAAGACAATCACGAAACTTCATGAAACAAAAATGAACACCTTACAAGCAAGACAACCTAAATTTAACCCAGGACAATGGAATTCTGATAAAGGAATTATCTTTAAAAAGAATTTTGACAAAAAAAGAAAATTCTTAACCAGAACACCTACTTGTACAATCTACAAATTATTTACTCATAATACTACAGATTGCTATAAAAATGTATCACTTATGGAAACCAACAACCTCCATAAAAACAAAGAATATGAAGACTTCCAAAGTTTCCAAGAATTTAAAAAAGGCAAAGGATGCTTACCAAAACAGTGTAGATAATTATAAAGAAATATCTACACTAGAAACAATTACCAACAATTTAGAAAATATATATTTTACATAGGAAGCACACCCTAAACTTGTGACTTACCTTCACAAACATATACTGGCTGTATAGAAAAGTTTAATAAATTAAAGAATAAATATAATAACAAAAAAATATATATATTTAATAAAGAAAATATTAACCAAGAAATAAACTTTGCCTCATATAATAAATTATACTTCCCAAATAAAACTATAATAAATCCTAAGAAACCTAAAGAAGTGAAAAGATTCTATCTTATTGCACTAGTAAATAAAAAACCAATGCAATTAAAACTAGACAAAGAATCTACTAACACCATAATGGGCATAAATCATGCTAAAAAAACTAGAAATATATAAACTCATAGAAAAACTAGCCACTGCCGAAGCAGTAGGAAACCATGTGCAAATACTTAAAAAAATGCTCATAGATATTAAAATTAATGAATTCTTAACCACAGACATAAAAATAGATATCTTAAACACATATTCTAAATACATACTACTAAGTAATAAAACCTAATCTGAACTTGGAATAACCAAAGATACCAAAAACCAAATCATTCTAATTAATAACTAACTAGTTATTAACCAACAAAACCTTAGCTAACACAATAGTATAGTCAATGATCTGAAAGTTACTTCAGTACTGGGAATGATGTACACTGTGATCACTGACTTTTAGGCAACTTTGACTCGAAAAATCGTGTTTAACTTAGCTGA